ATTTCTGTCTATTTATATTCTTCTTTGATCCTTTTATTGATGAAATTTAATAATTGTTCAACTATTTTATATTTTTGCTATTTTACTCACATCTCATTTCTCTAATAATCAGAATTGGATAAATGGGAATGCATTTTTAAAATTTGTATACTTTTTGCTTTAGTTATTTACTTTACTGACATCAATTTTCAACATTTCTTTTGACACTTTCGCGCTGCCCAACACTGCACAAATATGCATGAAAATGTGCCGAAATCTAGCCTAATCTAAATTGATCGCTTTTTATCACAATTCGCCATTTGTGGCGGTCTTCAGCCTTAATGGCACACTGTGGGTGGCCCCAATTTCAAGCTCTAATCCAATTGCGCCCCTCTACCCCGACCGCGCCGCTGGACTTATTGCGCATACGCCATGGGGCCGCACACAGCCAGAGCCCGAGCCGGCGAGTCAATGGGCTTGGAAATCAGTAAAGCATTTAGCTCACTAACAAATTTCTCACATAATTCACAAAACGTCGTAATACGGAAGCCGATTGCCGCTAAATTTCACTCGCTGATAAGTCGCAAAGTAAATTTGGCGCTCAAATTTGAATTTCATGTCCCTTTTATCGGTGCGACTATCTAAGCTCAGCCTAGAAGTGGGCATTGTTTGCGTTGTTGTTGCTGCTGTTGCAGTTGTTGTTGTTGCTGTTGCTGGATTTGGCCAATTTGGCAGCAGCTAATAACGGTGCTTGGGGGGCTTGCCTTATTGGGCGGTCGGTCCATTGGATTGATGTGCCAGGCTACAGCCATTTTTTGGCTACCGCAAAGTTATAAAATATCGAAAATTATGCGCTTCGACTACCGTTGCTGTCGGTTGTCATCAAAAGCGGCGCCGCAGATCCAAACGTGGCAGCTCTGGCTGTGGCTGCGGCCGTGGCTCTGGCTGCAACTGCAACTGCGGCCGTGTGGCACTTAACACCTTTTTGACACACAGCCAACGACGTCAAATGCAAATGAAGATAAATCGCTGCCTCTGATCTTTTTAGCACCTTTTTGCATATATTGCAGGCAACTGGCGGCATGCGGCAGGCGGCAGGCAGCAGGCGGCATGCAACGGAACGGCAGTCGCTGGTGACAGCCACAAACATGCAACATTTTGTCGCCAGTTGTACAACTAGCCGCCCAACTGCCACACTCTCGTTGCCCCACGCTGCCTGCCGATTTAGCTGCTCAGCTCAGCTGAACCCAGCCCGGATTTGGCCCCCGCTCGGCCAATTGCTTGTCTTTGCCGAGTATCTCATAATTTCTTATGATGTTTGTGACAGGCATATATCGTAATCTAACAGATTTATATACATATGTGTGTGTCTGTGTATCTGGCTGGTTTTTCAAATTTTTAACTAACTTGCTTGTTGCAAGTGGCAAACAGTTCAAATAAACTTACGGATATCTTGATGAATATTCATTAAAATCGCCCTGAAATATTTAATTATTTTGTTTCAGTTGTTTATGGTTGAAAGATATACGATTTTTTGCCAAATTCAAGGAACAAGATATTTCGGATATTTCATTAGAGCAGCATTATAATAAAGTATGATCCTTCTTTTTAATCATGATTCATTTCCGAAATAAATTAGTTCATTTTCTGTTTTTTGATGTGATTAATGTGCATACATTAATTATAAACATAACTATAACAAAGGCCTTTAATGAAGTATTCAAACTTGATTTTGAAAGATTTTAAGGACTGTTTCTTGGGAACTTGGGTAGAGCTAGGTCTCACCCAAAGTTTCTGGCGCTTATTTTTATATTTTATATATATTTAGATTTATCTTCAATCTAATTATACATCATCAAAAAAGTCATGAATTTAAGGAGTTTTGTTTTATTTTGTGTGTGATTGCAAAATATATGAAACTAGCAATAAATAAAGTATAGATTCTATATAAATCTTATAATAGTGAGCTTATATGGAACAAAGTATATAATAATACAAGTATTTTGTACAAAGGCAAATAAGTATTATATATGTGTATGTGTGTGTGTGTATGTATGTGTGTGTATGTGTGTGTTTGCATGCAGGTTTGTTTTCTAATACCAAGCGCAGACCAAGCTTATTTGTCGCTGTGCTGTAAATTTAAATAAAACCAAGTGCTCTCCTCCTCGATTCTAAAGAATTCAAGTAGGCCTTGCTGAAATTCAACAAGGCAGGAAACGTTGGCTCCAACGGCCTGTGGAGGAGCAACTTGTGGCGGTGGAGCAGGATGAGGTAGAGCGGGTAAGTAGATATGTATGTAGATGTATGTATGTCGATGTATGTATGTCGATGTATGTACGAAGATGTATGTACGTACATATATGTATGTTTGTATGTATGTTTGCATGTATGTATGTATGTCTGAATGTATGTATGTTTGTATGTATTTTTGCATGTATGTATGTATGTATGAATGTATGTATGAATGTATGTATGTATGAATGTCTGAATGTATGTATGTATGTATGTATGTATGAATGTATGTATATATATATGAATGTATGTACATGTATATGTATGCAAACATGCATACATATATATACACACATACTTACATGTATGTGGTGACATGCACACAAACATATATGTATGCATGCATATATTTATATATGCAAAAATGCATGCATACATACATGCATGTGTAAATGTGTATGTAATAAGGAAAATAAAAAAAGAATGCAAATCTTTAGCATAAAAATGTTTTCTATGGTTCGTTTCTTGGCTAAAACTGAAGCCTCGCTTCGAGATTCGGTTCGTGAACCTGGTTTTCAATCTTCTTTCTATTGATAAAATTATAATTAAAGTCTTATTTTTAAATATGCAAAAATAATTCCTTGGCAACAAACATGGCTCGGTTCGGGTAAAGACTGGGCTTTTCTTTAAGCAATTTTGACAGAATATAATATATTGTAATTCCGGGCTTTAAGTGGTTCGGTTCAAATCTCTTTGCCGCCTTGAAAACAAAATGTATGCTTGCTTGTGAGCAGCAATTGGAGCCTGTGCCTGGAGAGAGTATCACGTATTTGCTGTTGCGAAAGAGTAGAAATGTTGCGCCCCGTTTGTCTTTAGTCGGACTGTCAATAAGGTCAAGGGGGGAGTACGTACTACGTAGCTGTAGTAGCCGGCTATTGTGTGCCTTGTTTTTTTTTTGGGTCCGCCTTGGACTCACTTTGCATATGAGCAGCTCGCGAGCTGCGGCGCACAATCAAAAAAAATTATCAGCCTGGGCCACGTCGTGGACGTCGTCGTCGTTGTCGTCGTCGTCGTCATTGTTGTGCCTGGCTTTGGTTTGGTTTGCCTGTCGGCGGATGAGGAAGTTGTTGGTTTGTTTGTTTGGTTTGTTTTTCTGTTTTTCGGTTTTTTTTTGGGTTTGAACTGGGATTTGAGCTGCATTGCATGCTGCCACAACTATCGGTAGGCGACTATCATCGGCAGCTTGTCGCGTTTTTTATTTAAATTACGAAATGTTTTGTCAACAATTTGTCGAGTGATTTATTTGGTTAGCCGAGTGTCGAGAGTCGAGCGTTGCGAGTCGCGGCTGGCGAACTAATCGGAGGTGCAAGTTATCAGCTGACAGGTGCATAAATTGCGTTTCAAAAACCGAAAGTTGCGCCCAGTTGGTTGTCGCCGGTCAGAATGCGCATGAAAATGAAAGTGAGCGACGTCCATCCATTAAATGTGTGTCAGTGGCAGTTGCAGTTGCATCGGTGGCATCGGTGGAGCTGCTGCTGCTGCTGCTGCTGGTGGTGCATTGACATCCACATGCGGCCCCGTGCTCGGCGGCCTGCCTGTCCATCACAGAACTTTCGATTTCGATTGCGTAGCGCTGCCGCATCGAACGCTTTCCACATTGCCGTTTGTTGAACTGCCCCAACTGCCACAGATCATGTCCAGGTGGAGTAGAAGGAGGGGGGCGGCGTTGTGGCATGGTCACAAGAAAAACACATATTTCTGCCAGCGCTTTTTTGAAGCGCCCGTGACTGACACACAATTGCGTTGCTTTTTATTTTGATTTGTATGTTTTTGCGGCGCATAGTTCCGTATTTGGTCAAAGATAATGATGTGAAATGCAGCAACAACCACAACAACAACAACAGCAACAACAACGGCAACGAGAGCAACGACAACAATCACCCACTCAAAAATTGTTGAGAGAAAAATTGCGAGGCCCCGACTTGGCCAATGCATGTAAATGAGTGAAAATCTTTTTCAACTTAATTTCGTTTGCTGTGCGTGTGCCACATGCCCCAAAAGAAGTTGCCACAGATGCCACACACACACACACACACTTGTGTACACTCAACTGCCAATTTACCTCAAATCTTGGAAAGTCAGCGTTAAAGAAAATATTTAATTATATCAGAAAATTTTATTGTTTTCAAAAAAAAAGCTCTCTTATTTATAAAAAAAAACATTTAAAAATTGAATTTTTAGAAAATGTTTTTTAATCTTATATAAAGCCAAATGTTTTTCTTATATTTAGGTTCATTTAGCCAACAAGTTTTCTTTAAAATTTTTCTATATATCAGGGCGAATATATTCTTAAATTAATAAAGGTTTTATAAGGCAGCTCTTTCTACAAGCTGAAAAATAGTTTGATTTCGATTGAATCTAAAGATTTGACTTGCTTAACGAATTTTAATAGAAAAAAAAACTGGAGAGTGTAAAGATTCGACTTGTTTAAAGAAATTCACTTTCTAAAAGTTAGACTTTTTCCATATTTAAGAAATTTATTTGTTTTTTAGAAAAAACTTTTAACTTTTCAGAAACATTTCCTACTATCTAGTAAATTTACGAATTGTTTTTCTGTTTGCTAAAAAGTAAAGCGAATCGTTTTAGACCAATTCTAAAAGGGAATTTCTACAATTAAAGCCTATTTCGTTCTGTTGTTTTTCTGAGTGTATGCCCAGGCAATTTCTTACTCGGCGCATGCCCAGCCATTGCCATGACAGAGTTGAAATATTTGAGTTCGAGTCAAACGTAAACAACAACAAATCTGTAGCTAGAATAAACAAATATAAACGGAATCAAAATATTTAACTAAATCAAATATACAAAATGGATGATGGCATGGACGTCGGTGGGGATTTGGATATGGGCAATGAATTTGGCGGCATACAGAAGCGCCGGCCCTATATCAAGAAGTTTATCCAGCCCGGCTCCGATGAGGAAGTCGACGACATGCAGAAACTGTACAATGTGCAGGACTCGTGGCGCACGCTGCTGGCGCTGCCCACCTGCCAGAAGATTATGGTCGTGTAGGTGTTGCAAGATGCGTATTAAGAAATCTTCTAATCAGAGTCTATGCCACGCAGTGAATCCGTGCAGAAGGCGCTGAAAATTCAGGTGGGCGTCAATGTCACACAGGAGTTTCCATGGAAGCAGCTGAAATACAAGGATATGCGCGATGTGCTCTTCGAGGAGCTGGAGAACTCGGCGGACCTGCTCAAGCTCTTCAAGGGCTTCAACCCGGACAATTATGTGCTGATCGGCTACTGTCCCACGCTAACCGAGGCCGAAGAAGATCCACCCGAGGGCGATCCGTTCATCTTCTACATCAGCAGCAAGGACACCAAACTGGCCATGGGCATCGTGCAGAACATGGAGGCCTTCGAGCGCTGGCGCATGCAGCGCCGCCTGCGCAAGAAGCCGCGTCGCTGGGTCAGCATGGGCACCGAGGACGAGATGACCGTGCTCGTGGAGCGATTTCGTGACGAGCCCGTCGACGTGGAGATCCAGAGTGTCTATCCAATACAGCAGCCCCGACATATTGCCTTCGACTATCGCATGGCGCGCGATGTGCGCGACGGCGTCATCGAGTTGCTGCCCAAGGAGGATGTCAAGTACGAGAACATAACCAAGCGTCGCCTATCCATGGCCGTGCAGTCGGCGCCGGCGTGCATCAGCCGGGAGCAGCAGACCAATCCGACATTCCCCTCGAACGCCTGGTCGCAGTATCTCTACGAGATTGACGTTGCAGGTGGGTTCCTTAGTTGAATTATTATAGCTGGATACTCTACTGATAACCCGCTCAGATCTGGAGCTGGACGAATCCGATGTGGAGGAGGAGGAGGGCGTCGTACAGCGGCCCGGTTCAGCGACCAAGGAGTCAATTTTGCCGAAGCCAGCACCCGAAATGTCGGATCAAATGCAGCTGCTGCTCGAGACGCTTGACTTCAACCAAATTGACAGCTATCGGTGGGTATTCATACCCACTGAAAATGTGTGGAAAGGTTGTACTGGCTGTGCGCCCATCTATGTGACAGGCAGAAGAAGCTGTCTGAAGTATATATATTCCTGTCTGTCCGTCTGTCTGTTCAATATCGGCAACTGTTTCGATATCTCTTCCCATTTTCAAAATATCGATAAATATCGATTTTGAGATATGTTTTTTTTGAGCATTACTCGAGGATTATAAGAGCTAGATACATAAAACTTGGGCTGTAGGTTCGTAATTATACAGATTAGAATTATTTTACTTTTTGCATATGCCACCCGATTTCCATCTTTGGTTCCATAAAATCTGACTCTAAATACCGATGATATTCAAAAACACATTTCTCATTATGTGGGGAAAAGTTGAAGAGAAATACGAATGCTTATAAAGCTAGCTTGGCGCGAGTTACAGGTTAACTCCTAGTCGGACATCCTCGACTAGAGCTCTATCTTTTTTCCTATTAACCCAAACCTAATGGAAACGCCTTGCAGCAACGACTATCAGATGATAACGTCCAAGCATGTGGTGTACTATACGAATCCGTTTCTGCAGGAGTTCATCTGCTTTGCCAACATCGCGAAGAGCGACAAACGCTTCGTGGCCAGCTGCGATTGGTATCCCAAGCTGTCCGGCCTCATCGCCGTATCCTATGCGTTCAGCACACCCGTGACCGTCGATTTGGCCACACATCAGGTGAACTTTGTGCAGCGCGCGGTGCTGGAGCCGAATCCCGTGCTGCTGTGGAGCTTCGCCGACAATCTGAACTACAAACTGGAGTTTGAGGCGCCGTTTGAGGTGACGACGCTCTCGTTTTGTCCATTTAATGGCGATATTTTGCTGGGCGGCAGCCAGAATGGTCAGGTGGTGGTGTGGGATCTGCAGGGGCGCTGCGATCACCTGGAGGAGGAGGAGTACTTGACGCCGGCGCAGGCCAAGTATCGAGCGCTGATTGGCGAATTTCTCAACTGGACGCTGGACATCAACGAGGAGGTGGTGGTGGCGCCGGCAACTATGTCGCCATTGGAGCACTCACCCAACGGCGCCATCACCGGCATCTATTGGCTGGCCAAGAACTTTTATTTGAATCACTTTGGCAAGGTTTTCAACGATCCGGATAAGCGCAGTAAGCACCATTTCTTTATCACTTGCGCCTTTGACGGCACCGTCGGCTTCTGGAATCTGGAAGGCGAGGCATCCAAGAAGGAGAAGGAGGCGCAACAGCGCACCAAAAACCTGCCCAAGGAGCTGACCCAAAACGAGTCGCTTTTCAAACAGAAAACCATCAAGCCCACCTACAGCATCTTCTACAATGAGCCGCTGACTGGCATCATAGCCGACACTTCGGTCTTCTCGATACAGACACCCGCGCCCAAGGTCATGGCCAACTCGCCCAACAACTATCCCATTCAAACTGTGTCCAAGGATCCGCCCGAGCTGCGTCAGTCCCTCATACTGTCCACCTATTACGGGCACATTATACGCGTCGAATGGCAGGGCATGTACAGCGAGGCGGGCGGCAAGGAGCAGGTTAATGCCTCCGTCAACTTTGCCATGGTGCACGACGGACCCGTGGTGGCCATGAGCAAGAATCCCTTCTATCCGGAACTGTTTGCGTCCATAGGTCGCACCGTGTTCGCGCTGTGGAAGGAGGACTATCACGATTCACCCATTATTTGGCGCAAGCGTCCCTGCGACCTGACTGCCGTCGCCTGGAGCGAGACGCGTCCGGCTGTCTTGTACATAACACGCATGGATGGCATTCTGGAAGCCTGGGATATTTTGGGTAACTAACAAATAATGGAAGATTCCAGAGCGTGACCCACATGTATTCCTTGACTGCAGCTCGTGACGATGATGCAGTCCTGACTGAGGTCCTGGGCGGCGGCATCATCACAGCCGTCACCGAGCATCGCCCCTCGCTGCCCAACAAAATCCTGGGCATTGGCGACTACAACAGCAGCATACGCATGGTCAAGCTGCCGCACAGCTTCGATGTGCCGCTGGACAATGAGCTGGCCGTGAGTCTGACTGGCTGGCGAAATCCTTTGATTCCTTCTTCCCCATTCTTCCACAGAAACTAATGAAATATGTGCTGCGTCAAATCACGCGCAAAATGAACATACGAGCCTGGGAGCAAAAGTACTATGAACTGAACAAGGATATTATCGAGGCGAAGCGCGAGGCCGAGGAGGAGGCACGCAAGGAAATGGAACGCCTCGAGCGGGAGCAGCTAAATCCACGCAAACGCGCCTCCGAAATGGAGGAGGAGCTAATGTAAGTCCAAGAGATGACAGTAATTCGAGGGGGATAGTTAATTCCAGCTACTTGAATCCTAGGGGTAACTTCAAAGGGGGCTCCAACTACAATGAGCGCATGGCCAAGAAGTGGGACGAACTGAATCTCAATCGCATGATGACCATACTCATGTCGCGCAAGCAAATGGATCCCGAGAAGCTGGCACGCGAAACGGCACTGGAAAAGGAACGCCTCAGCTATGAGACGGCCAAGAAGGAGTCGCATGCCAACCTGCTGCAAACAGTCGAGGACGACGTGGCCACCATACGCTCGCGCATCCTGCCCGCCGAGGTGCAGGACATGCAGCGCAGCGAGATGATCGCGGAGCGGGTCAAGAACGAAATGGCCATGGCCGAGTCCTACGAGAGTGTCGAGAAGAGCGCCTTCAAGAAGCTCCAACGTTTCCCCGAACTCAAGTCCATCGACTACATTGAGCTGCTCGAGCGCGGACTGCAGCGCCGCCAGCTGCTGGATCAATCGCTGGGCGGGAATACCGAACGCCTGCTCTGGTACAAGGAGAAGATGCGTGACAATCAGATCTTCGAATGCGATTTCGGTGTCGATCTGCTCTACAATAGGCGCAAGCTGGGTCCAAAAACCAATACGGATTCCGAAACCGAAATCGAAATGCGCGCAACGGAAATGGAGCTGCCGGTGCCGGTGCAGCCCAAGGATGAATAGAGGAATAATTGTGTTTCCATTAATTAAAGTCGATTATGAGAAGTAAATTGGTTTCCTTTTGTTTGTACTAGGTTCATGTCTCGAATCGGTTTGTCTGGAAACTGGCTTAGCTGCGAACTAATTACGATTGGATGGGTAAACAAATTCCGAAGATGTTCCCTATACAAATCAAGAATTTTTACTTTTTTGGAACTAGCTCAAATAGGAACTTAAGGAAAAAGAATTGTCAAGATTTGGTTATCCTTTAAACCTTCTAACTCAGGTTATTTAGGAATTAGATTTCAGACTCCAGCCCAAGAAACGTTTTCGTTGTTTCGATTCCTGGTTCTAGTTAATGCCTCGTCTTAAGGTTCGTTTTGTAGCCCTGGTTTTTCATATCTGTGAGCTAAGTGTGGTTTTCAGCCGTGGTTGTTAAATTCAAAAAAAAAAAGAACATATCAAAATGTCAAAAGTACGTTTGAGGTTTGGTTAAGGTTTTGGTTAAAATATCTTTTAGTTTTCGAGAAAAAACTTAACTGCAAATTAGGCCCTTCAAAGAGCTAGCTTGGCAATTAACTAAATAATCAATTATGAGCTTGTTTAGTTAACGCCTTTTATTAGAAACTTAATCAAGTTTTTGTTTAGGGTTAGTAATTATTTAAATCTGGTTTTTGATTTGCGCACTTCCGTAACGAACCCATGTCCGAAAGTTCTTGAACAAAACGGTTTTTAAATGATAGCTCAACCAAATTGTGAATTGATATTTAAATGTTATAAATTGCCAGCCAACTATTCATTAGAAACAATTCAATGGATTGGCTTTCGCAAATAATTTGTGTCTTAATTAAACGTGCAGTGAACCTTGACGTCGCACTTCCGCAGCGGCCAAACAAGAGTTCAAGTTTATGACATTTCTAAGCGGCGCACAAATGAAGTCATCTCGTGACCGAGGCGTGTCACAGGTTTAATGAACTGAGCCGCAGTCGCAGTCGGAGTTGCCATCGCAGCCGCAGCCGCAGACAGAGCCGCAGTCGCAGCCCCAACCACAGCCCCAACCACAGCCCCGACCACAGTTTCCCACGGCACTCGGCCGGCCGGCTGCTGGCCATCAGCTGGCCTGGCCATAATGCACATATCGGTGGACACAGCTCGAGTGAGAGCCGCATTCATCCGGTAAATGGATCTGGACAGCGGCAGTCCATCATTTTCGCAAGCACATAATGATATACATTTCGGAAGCAATGCATCTGAACTTTACCATAATTTTGCGACCATTATTATTGGTGGTTCAGTTGCTCTGCCGCCGGCCGCACTTTATTGTTGCATCATCATCATCATCAACATCATCATCATCATCATCATCAACATCATCATCAACATCGTCGTCATCATCTTTCTTTCGAGCTCGACCACCTGTTGTCCTTAAAGCGCAAAGCGATAAATATAAAGTGAGTTCAGTTTACCTTTTGATGCACTTTTTATTTTGCAGTTGCCGTTTTAATACCCTGTTCGTAATGTGAAAAAGGGTATATTGACATTGTCTGTGCGTTTGTCTGCCCTTTGCATAATGGGCTTTAGGGAATGTCCTTAATGTTAAACTGAGTTCTGTTTGCATTTTGATGCACTTTTTACTTTGAATTCCACTCGGAAGTGTGGAAAATTGGGGGGAAACTGTTTCATAGGACAGTTTTTGGTATCCATCCTATAAGCTTTAGGCTCATTTTCAAATATCTTCGTGAAAATTAATTTAAGACGTCCTTCACATTTAACGTAAAATCCACCCTCCGTCGTGGAAAATAGGTGTCTAAGGTAGTAAGAGCGGAATTTCAATGCTCGTGCGAACTAGCCGGGTAATAACCGCATAAACATATATTTAAGTAAAAATATGCTTAACTACAGGGTAGCTGCCAGTCCAATCCTCTCGCCAGCTGCATTCTTACTTGCCTTTTTTCATATTTTATTCATAAAAGATTTCTGCAGAGCATTGCGTGAGGCTCTGCCCGCGAATTCGACCTGGCTGTGAGTGCATTTTCCAGATTTACATAACAATTGGCCTTTGAATTGAAATTGTTGGTTGGGCGTGGGGGGGAAGGGGCGCAGTCGGAGCTGACCAGGCGCCCAGGCGAACAGCAAGTGCTTAAAATCGCTTTTGCCGCCATTTAAAATAATTTACGATCTTATGCAAATCGATGCTTGATGCATTCGTTGCCGTGACTTGGCATGAATAGTCGCACTCTGGACAGAAATTAAGCACACAAATCGATTATTCACGCCCATTGTACGCAGCTCCAAGCTGTGGCCTGAATTTATGTGCTCACTAAGTGGCCTGCGCTGTGCTCGGACCAAGATAGTGGTTCAAACCCGGAATTACATATTTTATTTGTAACATATACCAAAACTTGGAGCCTATGAAAAGTTAAGTGTCCAAGTTTAAGCCTGAACCGTATAATATTTTTTAATAGTTTATTTAAAGTTGTTTCGTGAACGTTACAAATTGTGCTTTGAACCGAATCGTTTGTCTAAAAAACAGCCGAGCCTTTCTGTCGATATCTCCTAACATATCGATAAATATCGATTTTGGAACCTGATTTTTTAGGCACAGCTCAAGGATTATAGGAGTTAGATCCATCAAATTTGTTATTTAGTTCCTTGAGTAGTATAAAGAGAATATAAAAAATATTTGAATTCTTGTATACTTACCCCCACTGCCGTTTGAAGCACTCAAAAGTATCGATAAAAATCGATTTTAAATCGTGGTTTTTTAAGCAAAAGTCGAGGATTATAAGAACTAGATAGACCAAACTTTGTGTACATTCGCGGACTGATGAGTTCTAATTATCGATATATGGTATATCGATTTTGAAACAGATTATTGAAATATAACTTCAGAAACCTAAGAGCTAGATCCATCAAAATTGCATAGAGTATATACAGATCAGAAATGTTACACTTTTTGGATACTTCCCTTCTCACCGCCGAACGACGAACTCTTGATTGTTTTGGCTTGCAGCCATGACCTAATCGCAAATTTTTATTTGGTAAACATTACAATTTTATTTTTATTATTTTTTCAATTGATCAACTTTTGTTAATTTAACTACAACTGAACTATTTTTCTTCGTTTTACTTTTTTGAACTAAAAAGAACTCGAGTAATTCATAAATTTTAGTCGATTGCGCCAAAGTTATTTCTAGTTCTAGGGAAAAGTTCTAAATAAATTTTAGAGAAGTTAATGCGTACTGCTGCGACTTGTTGCAACTTTTTGTAAATGGTTGCAACCTGTTGCAACTTGTTGCAACTTGCTGCAAGCTAGTCGGAACACCTCATTTGGCGCTGCCAGCCGCATTATGCTTGGGCAAACACTGGGAATTTTGGGGCCACGGTTAATTTGGCATGGCTGAAACACACACACACACAGAGAAAGAGAGGGAGAAAATAAAATGAAAGTAAAGCTAAAACGAATTCTCGCTGGAGGCGGAACTGTCGCCCAGATCCTTGCTAACATGCTCGAGGCGCTGCAGCAATTGCTTGCAGGATTCGCGCTCCAGATTCCCGCTGGCGCTGTTCGGTCGCGCCAGCTCGATGAGCAGATCCAGGATGCCGATGAGCAGGCTGTTGAACTCCTGCTCGTACTCGGCCACGCCAGCCTCGAAGTCCGGCCCACCCGTCTGGCGCTCCATGAAGCTACCAAAGTTGAGGCACAGCTGGCCCAGCGTGTGGAGGGCGCGCACAAAGGTCGCCGGCTCGGAGAGCAGGCACATCAGCTGGCACTGGTCGAGCGTGTCCTGGAACTGGTTGAGCAGCTCATCGACAAATTGTGCCTTCTGCGCATTCTCCAGCAGCGCCTGCCAGCGTGGCTGCACAATGTCCCTGGTCATGTGCTGCTCCAGCTGTCGGATGCACTCGGTCATGCGCTCCAGCAGCGCATCGGCCCGCGAGCTGTGCCTGGGGGCGGCGCCCATTTGTCGCAGCACATAGTGCAGATAGAAGAGCACACGATGCAGCAGCTGCAGCTGCTCCACGGCATCCTCGTGGATGACCAGGCTGACGGGCCACTTGGGCTCGTAGCGCAGCGTAAACGCCTCGTAGCCATTCAGCGTTAGCTGTGCCGGCAACCGGCTGGAGTCCGCTTCACTGGATGCCTCCGTTTCCGGCTCCGCCTCACTGGACTGCTCCTGGTCGGCATTCTCTACCGTCTCCGGCTTGGTCAGACGCTTGTGGCGCCTGGCCAGCTGCGTGGCCACATCGCAGTCCATCAGCTGGCTGCGCAGCAGATGCTTGTGCGGATCGGTGCTGTGCTGCAGCAGCTGCAGCATTATCTGCTGCAGCTTCTCCGGCTTCAGGCTGTCCACGTTGCACTGCAGCTGCTCCGCACAGTTGGCCAGCACGGCCTCCACCAGCTCCAGACGCTGCAGCAGAAAGTATTCCTGCAGATTGTTCAGATGCTGCAGCAGCTGCTGCTCCTCGACCAGCAGCTCGAGCAGCTTGCGCGCCGGCAGCTCATAGCTGCTGCGTATCAGCGTCACATGTGCTGCCTCCCCCTCCCCCGCCAACGCCTCCCCCTCCCCCTCCACCTCCACCTGAGGCACATAGGTGAGCGATGCCTGCATCAGTTTCATTTGCACATTGCACTGGCGCAGCACGTTCAGATACTTGCCCGCGAGGAAAATGTGCTCGGCATGCGCCGCCAGGAAGCTGGGCAGACGTTCCATGTGCAGACGATAGCGTTGCGCCCAGTAGGCGTGGCAGCACTGCTTGGGCGAGAGCAGGGTGCTGCTCATGTCGCTGGCGCTGGTGTCCTCGACAAAGAACTCGCGGCGCACATCGTACAGCACGCCCTTCTGCGTCCACAGCTGCACCATCTTCATGTAATAGTGGGAGACGTCGGTGAGGATCAGCTTGAGGCGCTCGCACTTGAAGTGCGCCTGGTGCTCGTCCATCAGCGACAGCAGCTGGGCGCTGTTCAGCTCCGTGCGACGCACCCGGCTGGTCAGGCTGGCCAGCGCCTGCATCGTTTTCAGCCAGGGACGCAGCTGTTGCACCAGCTGCTGCAGATCCAGCTTGCGCTCCTGGAGCTGCGTCTCGAGCCCGGCCTGCACCTCGAAATATTCCTGCATGCTCTTGTGCAGGCCACTGCCCAGGGTGCGGCCGCAGCCGGTCGTCATGATCGTGTCCTCGATGAAGCTCTGCACGTTGATGTAGTATCCGATCAGGGGCAGCAGCTCGTTGGCCAGGGAGCGGAAGGCGCCGCTGAAGCTCTCCTCGATCTTGAAGTGCACCCTGTCGACCTGATCGGTGCGCAGCTGCGAGATCTCCTCGAAGGGTATCTCCGGACGGATGTGCGAGGAGGGCACACCCGAGAACGCATAGATCAGATCCCGTATGAGCAGATGCTCCTGCCGTCGCATTGGCAGCTTGCTGATGTCCTCCGTGGGCATATAGAAGCCGCCAACGCTCTCGAATATCCAGGAACCCAGCTTGCGCTTGAAACGTGCCGGCCCAGCTGTGCCCCCTTCCTCCGTGGCATCCTTCACATCTGCCGACCGCTCCAAGGCGTCCTCCTTGGGCGCGTTATCCTCGGCTTTGCCCAAACGGAAACGCACTCGCGGCGCCACGTCCTCTGGTGCTTCGGAATCCATACAAAAATATATATGTATGTATATATCTTTATTATTGTGATTGAAATGGAAAAGTGTATTAATTGCTGCTGTATTCGTTGAACATCCAGCAAATGTTAAGGGATTCTGTCCAGAATTCCTTCCTTTGCTTTGCTTTCAATTGAAGAGTTTTTTCTCTGAGCACAAACTTCTCCAAGTTGTGTAGATTTTTGTAAATTTGGGATATATCTTCATAATGTTTATAGCCTTGAAAATAAGGAAGTTTTAATTTTGTGGAGAACTGAAGAAGGTATTCAAGAAATGGAATATTCTTAATCTGTGTGTCCTCTATAAAAACCTACCTACCAAATTTCATGCATCTAGCTCTCAGAGTCTCCGAGATATTTACGAACGGAAGGTCGAACAGGCTTGGCTAGGCCGACTCGGATCTTCTACTGAGTAAGAATATATATATACTTTATAAGATCGAGACGGCTTTCTTCTGACTGTTGCAAACATTTGCAAAAATCCATTATACTTTCTTATCTAATATACAGGGTAGAGAAACTGAAGAATGAAAGACTGTTCAATACTCTAATTGATTATGGGCTAAGTGACTCTGAAACTGTAGCTCTAAGACATTGACTCTCCAACTGTATAATCTTGGGCTTCTTCTGAAGAGATGATTATCAGTTATTAAAATGTTAGATTCTGAATCTCTAGATCTTTAACAATTGGAGCTATATCATTTCGAATTTCATCCGACCTCTAGTAGGCGTCTAGTATGTATATCCCTAGTTTCAAATATCAACATGTCACTTTGCGAATCTTAAGCTCTAACTTTTGAAGCTATCGGTTATCGCGATTTACCCCACTAATAGTAGGCGTATATATATCCCAAGTTCTTAATATCATCATGTCATTTAGTGAATCTCTAGCTTTAACTATGGAGTTATAGATTTTTGTGATTTACCCGACCTCTTATAGGCGTCTATATATATCCCAAGCTTTAAATCCATCTTCTCTTCAATAGCAGTAAAAAGAACTGTTCATTCGGGCAGATTTGCAGACGAAGACTGCCCAAAAACCAATATACCTTGCTGTCCCATGTGAACAGGGTATTGAATTCTATACACACAAAACAAATGTGCATGTGTATTTAGCATAACGGTTCTTTATCTGCAATAAGGGTATTTTATTAAGCTAGCCAGAGTTTTGCTGTAACTCTAGAGTATCGTCTGAATTTATGATAGATACTCATGCTAAAGGTTAAAACCTGACGCCATGCCGTCCATTTAACACCTGCGAGCCGTGCCAGGCTATGGCTAACTTATGAATGAACCGGCATCACAATTCATTCAACAAAAACCTGGCAACAGTATTCATTTAGTGGCAGTGGCAAGTGGCACGTACCCACGAGCAGAGCCCAGGCCGTACCCAGCGGCGACATCAGCCGCACAGGTGGTTTTTCGCATTGGATACCTGAGGCAGTCACATGAATCAGCTGTGCACCTTCGTGATCAGTTTGGCAACTGAGTCGAGTCGAGCCGGGAAACGTGTTGAGAATTTTCCACAATTCGAAAATTCACAGCGCTGGGAAAGTCAAAACTCTCAATGCACTTTCTTTATAAATAAATAAATATGGTTGTAGAGTACGCTGCACAGATAACTATAAGAACACTTTATTTATGGGCTTTGTCGCGTGAGTGCCACTTGTCGTATTGTTGCTGTTGTCTCGCTGTTCTCATTCTAAACAATGCAACGTCAGCGTCGACGGAGACGGCGACGGCGGCGTCGTCGTCGACAGCAAAATTAGCATAAATAAATAAATAACCGTAATATACCAACGACAACGCCAACAGCAACAATAAAGTGCATTGGCAACGTGAGCGAGCTAGTAAATAACAATAACAATGGCAACAAGAAGTTGCGATAAAGCTTTTGGGCTTCTGTTGCGTTTGCTGCTGCTGCTTCCTCTTTTTTTCTATCGCCACAAAATGCACGCCGAGCTTTTGTTTTCGTTCTCTCTCCTTCTAGCTCTCTCTCTCACTAATCGTCTTGACAGGGAGTAGGTACAAGCACCCACATGTGTTCAAGGCACAGTGGTGCGATATGCAAGAAATTTTATTCTAATAATAATGAAACAAAAAATTTTAAATATATTAAATAACTTATTTTATTTTATTAAACAGAAATATTAAGTATTATATGTAACAAGTAGTAGAAGTTCTATACATTGCCTTTGTATAATTCATGCTTGTTCACTTTTACTATCAACCACAGTGCTTCGGTCTATTACAATAACAACAACAACAAAAGCTCCTCTGGTATGCATGTATTTTAGTGTTGTTTTTGTTGCTGTTGCCGACAATCAAATTGAGTGCAAAGCTTAATTTCAGTTTAGGCAGCGACCGCGGCCTAGAGAAGGGCTGGGCTTAACTGTGGCAGCGGCAGCGACAGCGACGCCGGCTTTGAAGTGCGATGTGCTCTGACTGCAAAAAAGTGCCGTTTTAGGTTTCGGGTTTTTTTTGTGTCGCTTTTGCTTATTGCATTATTTATACGCTCGCATTTACTTTCTTGGGCGCTACTCACGCACGCACACACAAGCTATAAACAAAACGTGCACGCAGACAGCGACAATATCAACAATAGCAAAAGCTACAAAAACAACAGCAACTACAAGGTGTCGCATTGGTGACAATTTGCGCCTACTGCAACACTCTCGGTCTCAGTCTAAGCCGCTCTCGCAGTCAGCGCTGTCGCAGCCGCAGTCGCAGCAGCAGCGCCAAACGCGACCGCATTCTCAGTCAAACAACAATCGCAACTGAAGTAACAACGGTGTCCGCGTCCCGTCCACGGCAATAATATTTACCAAAGAGGCCAATTACGCAGCCCCCACGCAGCACCCGCCCCCCGTAAATCGCAAGTGCTATTAAGAAATAAGAAGAAGCAGCTGAAAAGTGATTAAAGTAAACACACACGAAATATTGTGCAAAAGCTTTGCCAAAAGAGCGCCAAGTGCAAGTGACTTGAAGTGTTTCTGTCTCTGTCGCTCTGCCGGAAAGTGATGAAATTGTTGTTGCCGCTCTCAGCCGGAGTGTGTTGTTGTGCTTAATGTTGCGTCTGCCAACGCGCGAGCAGTGCGTCGAGTGGCTGCAGTGCATCCTGGTGCTGATCCTGCACGTCTGGAGCTTTTGCAGCATGTCGCTAACACGCAGTCGTCAAACGACGCTCAAGTGGATTAAAAAGCGTTTGGCGCTGCCGCGTCGACGCCACCAGCAGCAGCAGCAGCGGTCACAGCAGCAGCAGCAGTCGCAGCGGGTGAGTGTCCTGAGTGCGCCCAAACTGGGTCAACTGTAAATTCAACCCCATTTTATTTATTTAACTCCATCAGCTAATTGATTTTTGTCTAACGCTTAATTTCTGTGGAATTCAATTAAATGCGACTATCCCGGCATAAATTCAATTAAAGCCAATAATTTTCGGCGTAATTTTCAGCTAATTTTGTTTTTCCTGCGAAAGGGTTCAAGCTTTTTGCATTGGCGTGACTTGCTACAATTTCTCCAAAACTCCAAACGTCAAAAGCTCAACCCCCGTTACAGCCACAACTACAACTCTCCCCCTGGCCGTGACGTAGTCGCCAACTGTCTGCCGCTTTGTTCCGTTTCCGCTTTTACTTGCTAAACACTCTTATGGGCCACGCCAGAGGAAGGTGTGTCCACCGGCCTGGCCTGAACTGGCCTGGCCTGGCCGTGAGCCGCATTGTTGTTGTTGTTCCCATTGTTGTTGTTGTGGTTGCTATTTCGCATGTTCGCCCTGTGCCTGCGCCTGAGCCTGCGCCTGTCCCCAGCTTGAGCGATTATCGCTGTCAGTTTGAAAAACAGTTCTGGGCCCGGGCCCGGGTGTCTGTTATCATCAATTTAAACTAACTGTACAACATTTTAGCCGCATTGTTAGAAATCAAATTTATGCGATTTTTATGAAAGTTTTCTGTTTATTTTGTTTGTTTTTGTTAAATTTCTATATTTTGTGCATTTTTGGCAATTATTTGCGCGATTTCGAAATAGTTTCGTTTGGGCGTGTTGCTGTAGCTGCGCATAAGCAGGCAAATTGCAGGCACAACACGTTTGAGGGGAGAGTACGGCAGACGCTACAAGCATATCAAAGAGTTTTCTATTGCTACGATAGAGAGTAGGGCTTTGTAATACCCTTAACCCATTGAATTGGGTAACAGGGGTCAACTGGTTATGGGCAAATGTAACAGTACTCAATTTTCATTCAACAGATACACAATATTTGTACCCCTTTTCCCCCAAAAATAGCAGTTTTTCAGGTAAAGTCTTGGTCTTTGGTATTAACGCATATTTTTAGACTATATATATTCCCTGAAAATTGCACGAAGATCGAACTATAAACACTGAAGTTATTCAAGAATATATTTCTTATGGTGCGGGGTTAAGGGAAGAAGCAGCACACTCAGCAGCGTGCGTACTTATTGCGTGTGTGTGTATGTGTGCTTAAAAGGTAGCTAGAGTGATATTAACGGCAGTTTGTTTTCATACCCTGTTCATAAAAAACAAAAGAGTATTTGGCTCATATGATATCTTCATCTGTTCGTTAGGCAGTTTATTGAAACTTGGTATATACACTTCTCTATATTATATAAATAATTCATTATAAATAATAATTTCATTATAAATTCCATTATACATTTCGGTGGTTTGCTGCAGGGTTTGAGCCAGCGCCCTGCCTTTACATTGGGTTTCTATAGCTGTGCTACCGATGTCCTGCTTAAGATAAGGTTCATCGAAAAGAGAATTGAAATTCCTGGTTTCGGCTTAGCTTACATACTAAAGGCTTAAATCGTGTTTTTAAACTAGGTTTAATGTCATGTGAGCTCATTGTTGGGTTAAAGCATTTCCAACACATTAATTATAGCTATTGTAGTTAATTAGAAAAGTGCTGACATCATTAATTGACTCACAATTTAATTGAGTAACAACTGGCGGAAATGCACATTCAATGAGTTAAGATCACAATTGAAACTCAGCGGATCAGAGATGTGATCGGTATCTAAGAGATCTTAGGATCTTGATCCAGCTTAAGAGAGAGTATTTGGCGTGTTGCATTCCCCAAGGAGCACACATAGTTTCGGTCTGGTTGTAAATGAAAAATATAATATTTATTCGCTGTCCAAATGTTTATTTCTCACCACTTAAGC